TTTTAAATATAAATGATACTAATATTGCAAATAGCTGTTCGTTTTGCCACAATTATGTAAATGCCCTTTTAATAGTATTTTATTTGGTTTTCTAATATCAAAAGGCGTTTGTATAGAAGATATGAATCTTATGTTGCTTCTAAAGTTGTATTTTTATGTATATGTGTATTACAAACAGTGTTAAAATTTCAAAAAAATCTGCACTATAAAGATATCTGGCAACACTTGTGATTGATTGATTTTCTGTGTAGTTGATACAGAGAACGTATAATATAGAGAAGGTTCAACTACGGACAAGCGYGTGAACCGTCAAGACCCATGAATTTTCTATTAGTGGATTTCACCACTTTTGGCTCGGCAGGAGAAACTTTAACATACATGAGTGAATAGAGCTGAGAATTCAATGAAAATTATGCTCTGATATATACATTGCATTTACAGACTCATGTTGGCCTTTTGGCTTTTATTTTTATATGTTTACATGCTATCATATCAATTGATATGAATATGATTTTTGCGAATTTTTATGAATTCATGCAAATTGATAACATTATTTTTAATTTATGCAATTATCCAAGCAATTTTTGTAATTAATGGGCAAATGAGCTACTTTTTAAATATTTCTTATCTTTGATAATGTAATACAATTTCATATGTATGTACATATATGATATATTATCATAATATCTTAAAAAACTTAGTATATTACAATAATATATATGTATAAAACACACCTTTTATCATTTAAAACTTTCATACGCATCTTTCCTGCAGATATGTATTGTACATACAAATGTAAGTACAAATCAATTTCAAATCAAGATAATATCATTTCTCAGTGAAATAACATGCACGCTCTGCTCTACCTGTAAATACACATATACATACATATGTGCGTATGACATTGCTACACAAATAACGTATACACAAACCTACGTATAAACATATCTATATATACATGTATGTCGCCCGCGAAAACTTCAAATATTGTTCTACAAAAACCATAATCGTCTTAAACATCATCATACATGCTTATATGCGTTCACATGTAAATATGTCTCCCGCAAAAATTACAAATACTGTTTACAAAAACAACTATCGTCTGAAATAGCATCAGAAATCAATATGGCAGCCAAATTGACGACGTCAAAATTTATAGTAAATTACACAACAACAAAATTTTCATTCTCATGAATGAAAACGTAATGTACGTAACGCAAACGTACTTTCAAAAAGCATATTCGATTCATTCATAGAAGCAGACGCCGTCTTTTCGCGACGATTTCAAAAGCTAAAAATCATAAATTGAATATATTTCTCAAATGTATGAGAAGGAAAAGTGACAACCCCGCAAATATAAGTATTAAAATATATTAGAATAAAATTGACAACATAGCTTATTTGTCGATTTTCAATTCAAGAAATGTTTCAACGAAAATATTCAATATTCCTCTAATTCATGTGTACAGTCAATCCCGGCTAAGTAGTACTCCGCTTAAATGAAAACCAAATCCTGCCCTCATCACTCTTAACAGCATATATTATATCTTGCTGCATCTCACGATTTGTTTTTTTAAATATCTAAAAATTATTGTTTTAAGTACGACTCATTTAAGTATCCGCAGTCGCTTATGTACCATATTATATTTTTGTTTTTAACTAATTACAAATATCCGTATCTTTGAATGTGGCACATAACCAGTATTGACTGTATTTGTCAAGAAATGTGAAACATATTTTGTAATGCTGAAATATTTTTACGCAGCTGCGTCGATATGTATGAGCTCACGCATAAACATATGTACATATTTACGCTGGTTTGTAGGCAAAGCTGTACAGCGGCAAGGAAAGCGGTTTCGGTACAGCTCCGATTTTGTACCATTGACTTTTTGACAAAGTTTGGTTGTCCGTGACAACGGAGTTTTTGTATGAAACAATGGGTGTATATATTTACATTCAAAGTTGTGTCTAGACAAATTTACAAACATAATGCGAATGATTCTTTCAAATTTGTTTACATGAACACAAAATTACATACATATGTGAATATGTGAGCATTTTGCGTATGGTTTTTTAAAATCTGTTTACAAGTACACATAATTATATGCATATGACTTAAGATTTTATCAAAACTTCAAATGCTCGAAGTAAATAAATATATATGTATACAAATATATAACTTAAAAATATATATTAAATAAATATGTATTTAACTCATACAATCAACACAAATATGACTTAATTTCAACTGATTTAATGGAATTCATCATTAAATGGGTCAAATTGCACTTATGTACATACATATGTATGTACATATATACATTTGAGTTTTGTTATCAAGTATATGGAGAATATCCATAGCGGTTAGCGTATTCTAAATATGCGAATCTGTAAGCTAAGGATGCGTTTATCTAACAAAAAAAACCATAAATTATGCTGCGATTGGTTTCTTGTCTGCTGTATTCTCCACAACATTTTAATTAATAATGGTTCCACTTCATTCGACCGAAGATTCTATTGAGCCTGATAAGCATATACCCAACAATGTTGGAGAAACTAAAAGACAAGCCATATACGCATTAATGTTTTAATTAATTTTTCAGTTTTTAATTACATACTTATATAATAATTATAATTACATATATTTATACATTTAGTATTAGACAAACATTAAAAAGATAACGCTTTGAATGATAGAAGATAGTAAAACATCAAAAACCGTATTAAATAAGTATTCATTTCAGCAGTAATTGGTACTACATATTTTAAAATACAAMGATAAATAAAGTACAGAAAAATTACTGGTGAGAGGAATACTTATATTTCATTTCAATTTCGAACTTTTGCAAGCGTTCCTCCTTTTCAATTGGAAGTTTTTTCAATCGTTCATCCTTTTCCAATTCTAAGATTTTTATTCAAAGCATGATCTTTTTCATGTTTCTCTTTTTCCCATTCTATTTTCAATTTGAACATTTGCCTACGCTCGACTTGAAAAACAACCAGATTTGCTGCAGATGATCTTGGGACATATTTTTTAATTTTTTCGGCGAAATCTTTTGCTTTTTCAGGAACAATCACTTCACTTACATTGCCTGGTGGTAGATTTTCAATATTAGCAATGTCAATTGGAGAAGCAATTTCTTCGCCGACATCAGAAAAGGTGATTTCCAGTATTTGGGTGGCCGCGCTTTCATTCATTATGGACGTACTGCCACTATCAACCACTTCAAATGGTAATTCACTTGTGGCTTTTTTCCGAAAAATATATTTAAGTCGATTAAAGTGTGAGCACATCTGCAACACTTTGCCTGAAATATAAACATTAGACAAAATTTTGTCGCATTCATTACGCTTACCTTCAACACTCGACGTCCCGGCATCAGACTCGAGAAGGCCTGCTCCTGTTGACATTCGCCAATCGCTTGCTTTTTTGTATGAAGCCTTCAGGTGCCGCACTTTCCACCGTATTAAATCCAACGTTGCGTCTATTTTTGTACTCTCAATGAGCTTTTTATAAAAAATTTGAGCTGTTGGTGCCTATTAAAATTAAAATTATTGTTACATAAATTGTTGAAATTAATCACTTACCTCTACTTCTGCAGCTTCCTGCAAGAAATCCACTATACTCTGGATTTCTTTTTCGCTCCACTTTTTGTTTGGTTTTTCACGTTTAATTCTTTTTCTGTTTAAACCTGATTGCTCCATTTCTTTTGTTTGTTTGCTTTTATTTTTGACAACAGCTGATAATTTGCAAACCAGTGTTGCAAATAATACAATGGCGTTTTAGTGTTGCTTCTTTGCAARGGTGTAGCAGGTGCGTCGCTGCACATTTTGTTAGTGTAAAAGCAAAAATATGCTCGCTCATTTGCAATTGGAAATATGCAAGACCATTTGCACCAGATTCTGAAAAGCCCTAATATAATTTTTGCTGGTGACATATTCACATGTGAACGAATATTTACATGTGTACTCATATTGTAAGTATGTATGATGGTTTTTGAGACTTTTGTTGTTTGTATTTTTTGATTTACATCCGTACGCATACATTATTTGTGTGAGAATGTCATGCGCACATACATACATACATATGTGTGTATGTAAATATAGAGAAGCGCGCGCTTTTTATATTACTGATAAATGATAATAACTTGATTTGTACTGACATACATATCTGCAGGATAGATGCGTATGAAAGTTTTAATTGATAAAAGGTGAGATTTTTATATATTTTTGTTGTAATATATTAAATTTTTTTATGATATTACGATAATATATCACATATAAAATTATATTAAATTGTTAAAGATATTGCTTGGAGAATTGCGTAAATTAAAGATAATGTTATCAATTTTTCATGAATTCACTAAAAGCGGCAAATTCATATTCATATCAATAGATATGATAGCATGTAAACGTATAAAAATATAAGCCAAAAGACCAACAGACGTCTGTAGGAGCAATGTATATTTCAGCGCATAATTCTCATTGAATTCTCAGCTCTGTTTACTCATTTCTGTTAAAATTTCTCCTGCTGAGGCAAAAGTGGTGAAATCCACTAATAGAAAATTCATGGCTCTTGACAGTTCACACCCTTGTCCGTAGTTGGACCCTTTCTATAAATGTACGTTCTCTGATATCTTTACGGACATGCTATTAAAAAAAATCAACATATTATGATGAGGATTTGAAAATTTTTTTTAGTGACCACTGTCGTTATTAATCTATGAAGAGAATCAAAATAAGTTTATTGCATTTAACGAAAATTCAAAACAGGATTAGCCAAATTGCAGTTACATGCAGGAAACCTTTACGGATATCTTCATTGATGATACTGTTGATAAATAAAAGTTTTTTTTCGCATAACATTAACTCCACAAACTTTCGGTAAACTGAATTTTTGTTTATGTTACATTAGAGCATATAGTATAATATAATATTTAATATTATTTTAAAATGTATAGTTACTTTTTATTTACAATATATTGAAAATATATACATACCTGCATATGTATCTAGTTTGCAGAAGCTACTATTACGAATTTTAATTTCGACTGAAATATTCCGTAAGACGGAGGAACCAATTTACTACTACATTCGCAAGTTTTGCTGTACGATACCGTGGCGCCAATTGGAGTGGAATAGAGTTGAGGTCTTCCTCTACTTAACCCGGAGGGTATTTCGTCGAATACTTTCAGAGCTGGAGTGTCTTCATCCATGTACGTACGACATGACCTGGCCAGCGCAGCCGCTGTCTCTTAAATCGCTGAATTACGTCAATGTCGTCGTATATCTCCTAAAGCTCATTGTTCCATCGAATGCGATATTCACCATGGCCCCCGCGAAAATGACCGTAAATCTTAGGTCCACTCATCAGATGCCGCATATCGAGAATACTGAGTGACTTCTAGAACACGTTTGTTCTTCGCCAAGAGAGGATTCTGCTTCTCAATTGCCTACTCAGTCCAAACCAGCATCTGTTTGAAAGAGTATATCCATTATTTCGATGCTGAAATTATTGTTGCTGTTGATGCTGGTTCCAAGATAGACGAAATTATCTACAACTTCGCAGTTATGACTGTCAACAGTGACATGGGAGCCTAGTCGTGAGTGACACGACTGTTTGTTTAATGACAGGAGGTATTTCGCCTTACCCTCGTTCACTGCCAGACCCATTTTCTTTGCTTCCTTATCCAATCTGGAGGAAGCAGAACTAACGGAGCGGGTGTTGGGCAATTGATATCAATATCATCGGTACACACCAGTAAATGGACGCAAAGACTGCGCTCAAGGTAGACAAAATAAAGATCGGGTGGACTGTATGTCGCCTCCGGGAATACTCCCCCATTCCCCGTTGCTTCAGGTGTTTCCATCTGGGACACATGGCGCATAAATGTTTCAAATCCGTGGACAGGTCGTCTCTATGTACACGTTGTGGACATGTAGCGAAGTCATCTACTAACAATCCAATCTGCATGCTTTGCAAAGGAGCACACTCAGCCTTGAGTACTACGTGMCCCAAATATCTCGAGATGGCGAAATCGTTAGGGAAATGAGGATAATACAACTAAACCTAAATCATTGCGCAGCAGCACAAGAGCTACTAAAACAGACGGTATTCGAAAAAAACATTGATGTCGCCTTACTAAGCGAGCAGTACTCCCAGCGTTCGGAAAGCACCTGGACTTCAGACAAATCTGGCAAAGCTGCAATATGGTCATGTAAAGGACAACCGTTTATATCTTGCTCCGGAGGTCATAATTTTTTAACAGGGGCAAATATACGAGGCATATACTTTGTTAGCTGTTATACTCCACCCAGTGTCTCAATTAAAGATTTTGAAGACTTCCTCCTGGAACTTGCTCTAGAAACCAGAGGCAAATCACCAATTATAAGCGCAGGCGACTTCAATGCGTGGTCGACCGCTTGGGGTAGTAGGCGCACAAACCATCGTGGGCGTTTGATACTTGAATTTCTCGGCCAAACGGACCTAACGATCTTGAATAGTGGAACGCAAAATACTTTCCAAAAGGGAAACAAAGGCTCTGTAATCGACCTCATGTTTGCCAACGACGCCCTTAGCAGGCGCATTAAGTGGGCGGTGACGGACACATTTACATATAGTGACCACATGGCTATTATTGCTGAAGTCTCTTATGCCGGAGGGACGGAACGCCGCAGYAGGAGCACTTGCCAAAAACAATCCTGGAAAATCGATTTTGATGCCGAAAATTTCGAGATGGTCTGCAAATATACGAAGACGGCATGCACTTGGTTTCCTCAGTGCGAAAAGAACTGGTCACAGCATGCGACGCAACCATATGTAGGACAGTACATCACAACAATCGGAAGCTAGCGTATTGGTGGAACGAAGAAATAGCTGGACTTAGAAAGCTCTGCCATTCAGCTAGACGCCGTCTGCGACGTACTCAACGGGAAGAAAATGAAAGCAGTCTCAGACAAATATTTAAAAGTCAGAAAAAGCTTCTAAAATCAGCCATTGGCCGCAGTAAAAAGAAGTGTTTTGAAAAACTTTGTGAGGAAGCAAACGAAGCTCCCTGGGGAACAGCATACAAAATCTGTATGTCTAAATTCAAAAATAAGACACAACAACCCAAAAGCGCAACCTTTATGAGAAATATCGTGGAAACTTTGTTCCCAAAACTCCACACTGTTTCTTATTCTAAGTCCAGAACCGAAGTCGTAGAGCCATTAAAGGAAGCTATGTCTTTGAAACCAAAACTGTTCGTAGAAGTGTATAATGCATGCTTAAAAGAAGGAATATTTCCCGATCCATGGAAAGTCCAGCGTTTGGTTCTTCTCCCTAAACCAAGAAAGCCTCCGGAGGAACCATCAGCAATCGACCTCTGTGCATGCTTGATACTATTGGCAAAGTATATGAAAGCATAGTAAGAAACCGCTTGGAGTTAGTAATCCAGAAAGCCGGCGGGTTATCAGAAAGACAATACGGCTTTATGAAAAAGAGGTCYACCATTGACGCATTATACGATGTCGTTGACACCGCAAAATGCGCAGTAAGTGGCAAGCGATGGAAAGGCGGAACAAAGAAATATTGTGCGCTGATCACCCTGGATGTGAAAAACGCCTTCAACTCAGCAAAGTGGGTAAACATAAATAAGGCTCTGTATGACATGCGCGTTCCTCAATATGGAAATTGTCATAAGTTATTTTGAAAACAGGCGACTTTTATTCAATACAGATGAAGGCACCAAGAGCTACTCTATCTCGAGCGAAGTACCGCAAGGCTTGGTACTAGGCCCTCTTTTATGGAACATAATGTATGATGGGGTACTAAGGAGACACCAACCGAAAGCTATTAGATTAGTTGCATACGCAGACGACCTTATTGTGGTAGCAGTTGCTAAACACCTCGATGACCTCCGGAGCAAATGCAATGAGTGCATAAACGGTCTGCGCCAGTGGTTCTCCTCAATGAGTTTAGAACTGGCGGAGCAAAAGACTGAAGTCTTGTTCATAAGTACAAGAAAAGTGGAGGAAAGTATTTCTCTCACCATAGGGGATTCACAGCCACACCTAAAATATTTGGGAGTAATTGTAGACTCGAGGCTCAAATTTAAGGACCAATAGAATACGCTGCAGGTAAAGCGAACAAAATCCTGAATGCCTTATCAAGAATGGTGGCAAATAAAGGCTGCGTGCGTTCCAGCCGGCGTTTTTTACTCGCGAAGCTAATGAGATCGGTTATATTATATGCGGCTCCAATATGAATCCAGGCGCTAGGCATCAAAGCATATGCCAGACATATAAATACAGTGCACATGCTGTCGGCACTAAGAGTTATCAGTGCTTTCCGAACTATTTCAAGCTATGCTGCTGTATGATGCCCATTGACATCCAGGGTGACGAATACGAGCGAGTGTACAAATCATCAGAGCCAACTACGGGAGCCAAAAGAAGAGAGAGATTGAAAAGCTTAATTATGTGGCAGCAGCGGTGGAAAACCTCATTCAAAAGATCCATTCCTGGATCGACAGACGACATGGGGAACTGGATTTCTACTTAACCCAAATAATAAGTGGACATAGATGTTTTAGAAGCTATCTGTACAGATTCCAGCACGACATTAGTCCCAATTGTCCGTCATGTTCAGAGTGCTGTGAAGACTCTGAGCATGTTTTCTTTTATTGCCCGCGCTTTTTAAGTGCAAGGGAAAAACTTAAAACTACACTCGGTGGTAGTTTTACGGTGGAAAATTTGACGACACTCATGTGTCAGTCCACTGAGAACTGGACAGCTGTCAGCGAAGCGGCAGCCTCAATCATGACAAAACTGAGACATATAGACCAGAGTAGGTGTCCGTCAGTCCGTGCCGTAGAAGAGACTTTAATGTCTTATAACTCCCACGAAGTAATACTTAATTAGGTGGTTCCGTGGGAGAGTCTGGAGTTGGGAGTAGGTTAAGTTTAGCGGATTAAAGCCCCGCACTAAGGCGTTTGATGCTTCCCCCTACTTTAAAAACAAAAAAAAAAAAACAGTAAATGTACACTCTTATAAAAGATTGTACCTGCTCGATTAAGTTCTGAAACTCGAATTAATCTCTTCAAGAACAGATAGAAGAAGTCGTACAATCGTATTCAGACGTTTCAGGTTCGCCTTCTTCTGGCGTTATGGTTTCACTGCCATTTAGCAGGCTGGAGAAGTGTTCCCTCCATCATTTAAGTATGCACTGGGGATCGGTTACTAGATCACCTCTATGGGTTCTACAGGAGCATCCTCCGGTCTTGAAACCTTCTGTCAGTCGCCGCAGCTTTTTGTGGCGTTTTTGAGCATTATCYCTGTCGGCTAGCTTGTCAGACGATCATATTCTCGCATTTCGGCCTCTTTCTTTTGCTGTTTGAAAATGTGTCTCGCTTCCCTCTTTAACTCTCGGTATCTATACGATCCCGCACGTGTTGGGATAGATTGTAATGTTGAGTGGTAAGCAGTACGTTTTTTCTCCGCTGCGACACGGCACTTTTCGTCGTACCAGCTGTTCTTTTGCATGGTCCGAAAACAAATGGTTTCGGTTGCAGCTCCCCTTATACCGAGCTGTCAGAGAGTGCTCTCAGAGAGCCGGAGTGTAAGTCGAGTAGAAAATCGTTCGGCTGTCTATTGTGAGTGCAGCTTCTCGATGTCGAAACTTCCTTATGTTTGCTGACTTGCGTTTTTGGCTACGCAGAAGTGGGTCTGTATCTTGCCTGCAACAGGTAGCTTGGTGAATGCTGGAATATAGTACTGCAGATGACCAAATTTCGGTCCCCGATGAAGTCGATCATCCTCAACCCGTTTGGGAATGCTTCATCTACCGACTGTTGTGTCAAAGAAACTTTCCTTGTCCACCCCAGCGTTAAAGTCGCCAAGCACGATTTTGACATCGAGGCGGGGGCAGCTCTCAAAGGTGCCCTCCAAGCGCTCATAGAAGGCATCTTTGGTCAAAAACTAGCGATATGTTAAAGAACTTCTCTTTGATGCGGATTGTGGCTAAACGTCCATCCAACGGTGTGAATGACAGTATTCGGTGACGGAGTCTATCT